AATGGAACAATAGGAGGATCGAAATGCGCCAATCACAGCCGACCTTTGTGATATAAATGATACCGTGCAACCAGTCGACCTTTTCGTCTGAAGAAGACTAGCAGTAAGCAGTCGAAACATCGCGATGTACATCTAAAGTGACTACATCGTGAGACAAACGATAATACACTTTACTATAATTTATTGCGCGAAATTGCTCGTAAGTCAATTGCTACGGCCCGGCTGGCTTTTTCTAGAAATGAAACACTTGCCCCATATACTTTTCAACTTGTCCCGGGTGTCCGGGCCTAATATTTGTCGGACCCTGCAACTTGTAGTCAGGGGGGCGGTATGCATGTCTCCCAACTGAATTTTAAACCCTTGTAAATCACACACAAAAAAATAATCCATTCAGGTGTGCAAATGGTCATTCATCATTTGAGTTGTAGCTCACCGAAACTGGTGAGCCCTTCTAACAATCACGCTGTAATTCACTTAATTTATGTAGAGTTTACCTGTAGTTACAGTTCAATTAAGAGATGATCAGGGCTATCTTAGAATGCTGTCTAATAATACTAATGGTACACTCTTCATTTAAGGTTGTCATAGCTGTTTTAAGGGTCCAAGTTCAGCTCTGCAGACCCCAGTTGACCTGCAAACTAGTGGAGGAAAAACAACTTGCATCAGTTCAAAAAATTATAAATCATGCGAATTACATGGGGAATTCTTTGACTACAATGACTTTCAGCCTAGGTGGATAAGTATGAGTGACAGTATTATATTCAGCCTCAAAAAAGACAATCAGAAATTTTTTATAGAGGTGAGTATATGTCAGACATTTTACTAAGATTATCAGTTGAGTAAGGCACAAAGAAAGTTTTGGTGACCAGGTTTTAACGTTCAGCTTGTGTTTTAGTCACAGGCAACTGGCTCCGTTTCCAGGGGCAACTTGTCAACTCATGACGTCATTGGCATCAAAGCATGCGAAATTGCAGGCGATGATATTGTTCCCATTTGAAACAAGGAAAGTTGGCTGTGGCCACACTAATTTTAAGTCCAAAACCGCTCCATTGCACCTTACTCAGCTGATAATTGTAGTACATGTCTGAGCCTTTAGAAACATCTTATGGAGATTCCCTTTGTAAGTGCCCTAATAATCTTATAATAGAAGTGGATCTTTGTTCTTTGTTTGGGTTAGTTTTTTTAGGACTTAAAGCATTTTGGGAACTGCTGAATGAGAGGTTTATTTTTCAGCACAATGTCTGACTCCCTAGACAAATTTATGATGGTGGATGAAAAAAGAAGAAAAGTTTTTTCTTTTAAATACAGCATTAACTCAATTGAAGACAAATTTCATTTCAATTGTGTTATGTTGTTCACTGGACTCTGAATTGTATTGAAAAGGTTAGTAGGAGCAGACTCAGACACATCCCTAGTTTGCACAATACAGTCACATACCCTGTTGAGGGAGGAAGGGTAGATGCCACATTTTTTCTGAGATGTTTCAGAGTTCTACATCATCAATTTGTATGCCATTTTCTAATGTCATCATGAGAAAAGTGCTAAAATCCAGACCTTTTAGAGCATTACATCTTGCTATAGGCTAAAGAGTTTTAAAAGTGACTGATACATATTTGACAACCAAGGTTGCTACCTGACGTGCTCCCGGGCACCTGAGGCGCCTAAGTTATGAGTGTAGGCTGCAACTAAAGTTTTGTTCAAGGAGCCCAAGAGGGTGCTTAAACATGGAGGTTTCATTCCCATCTGATCAGTTCAGTGACTTCAATCTTTTGTAATCAGGAATTAGCAGTTTCTAATATTTGTAACTTTGTTCCACCAACATAACAATTCCCAGTAAAAAGCTGGCTAACGCACATCCTGACTGGCCAGGATGTTTCTCATGAAATCGGTCAAAAAAATCATTCACACTCTGGTCCTGTTTTGCTTTTAAGGCAAGAAGTATGGGCCAAAACACGGCAACAAAGTCTCTCTCCATAACAAAACAGCTGAAAACAGCTGAAGATAGCCATATTTGAAAATCGCCCTATAATGCATTGCAAGCTCAGTATTGAATAAGTTAGCCAGGTTAGGACCAAAACTTTAATTGAAATTAACATATGTTAGAATGATGTCATTGACTTAGGTTGAACACAGGTTGACTTAAGGTGGCTCAAAACAGTAATATTTCCGTGAGAAGCCTGGGCTCTAATGCGCACTTCAGCGCTAGGCATCACGCAATTACCCAAGGGGTTGCGAGAAAGTGCACAAGATTTCAAGTTTGCAAAACTCACAACAAACATGGCAGTGCAAGGCCTACTTCGTAAAACTTTGTTTCCACCTAGTTTAGTGAGCTGTTTGCGATATCACTTATTTTTATCTTTGAAAACATCCATCCTTCAAGCAATTTCAAATGAAAAAAACATTGTTTTAAACTGCTGTGCTGGAACATAAACGAAAATTGTGATTGATGTTGCGATCAATCACACCGGCTATAAAATTCTAAAAAACAGCAGGAAAAAAATACTCTTCAAGTTTTCTTCGTTCTTTTTATTATAGGCCAGTCTCACCTTCGGATATTTATGGTACTCTTCTTCGACCACTTATGCTGCTAACGACAACAGCAAAAAGAAAACACTATTCGCGGGTATTTGCATTTATTCACGTGGAATTGCGGGCTTTACTGAGCAGCCTTCACGCATTCGCAAAGTGCGATCTTGCAAAGTTGAGATTTTATTTTGTGCATAGAACGTGCACTAAAAATTACTTATCCATGAAGCTGATATCTCAAAAACTGATCCGGTGACTCTACTATTTTAATGCAAAAAAGTATTCAACAGCAAAAGTGGAATGCATGTGCGAAATTTGAAAAAAAACTGTGGAGTGGAATTTTTCCAATCTTGAAATTTCCACTTTTTTAAATTGAAACAAAATCTACTCGGCAGATTTTTTTCTAATTTTCCCTGTTTCTTCTTCTGTGCGTAATGAAAAGATTTTTATTAAAAAATATGGGGTAACCGGCTTAGTTTTTAAGATAGATGCAATTGATGGCAAAAAGTGGGTCAAATTTGTTGTTATGCAACAGGACGGTGTAACCTTAATTTATGACTTTAACACAACAAAAGGTACAGTGAAGAGTTACCTCAAAAAAATTGCACAGCCATTAAAAAAAAAAATGTTTTGAGCCAGATCATGTGTACTAAAGGCATCTGCAGTCAAGTGTGTCAATCGATACCCGTGATTGACTCTTGATCGAGATCTTGATTGACACGCGATCGACATCCTGATCGATACTCTGTCGATACTCAATCGACACCTGATCAATGTCTTGATTGACACTCGAATGACAGTTGGCCGACAGTCAGCAGAGTGTCGACTGACTTATATGCATGATCAATCCAAAGTTAGTTGACTCTCGACTAACTGTCGACTGAGATATTGATGGAGTGTCAATCAAGGTGTCAATGGAGTGACAATTGAGTTTTAATCACGGGTGGAACAAGGGTATCGATCAACACAGGATATGGCTGTTCTTATGTACAAGACAAAAAACAACATTTGTCCGAAATATATTGTAGACCTCTTCCATGCGACAGACACAAAATATTAACTGAGAATCAAGGAGTTCGCCATGCCAAGATTTGACATGACTACATATGGCAAGCATTCCATCAGATACATTGGCCCAAAGTTATGGAGTCTATCACCAAAAATATAAGAAACCTTCCAGCATCATCTGTATTTAGGCAGCGTATTAGAAAGCTTGATTTAAATTCCTTACTGGCTGATGTTCATTGTTCTGATTGTATTTTATGTTGTACATGATAGACACTTTAGTATTTTACCAAGTCTATATGTATTTGTAAATAGTTCTAAGCCACACTCAACAATCATGCACATGTAAATAATCTCATTAATTTCATACTCATTTTATCAATTGTAAATAGTTTATTAATTTTAATTTATTTATGTAGTGTCCCCATTTAGTGGTTATTTACTTCTAGTTTATTAGTTTGACACTTAAATAAAGGTATTCATTCACTCAACACTCGACCATGGATGCCTTTAGTACAAATGATCCAACTGACCTACAAATAAATATCTCCATGAAATAAGTTGTTATTTGTTAACTTGTTTGAATCCAATAAAATAAGTTAATTACCTTTCAATAAATGTTCTGTACATTCATACAGTTAAGCCCAAGGTTTTAAACTTAAAATTATTTTTTGTTCCATTCAGTGGAAAAGAGACACAGCTGGAAAACTGTCTGGAAGAATCATCCGTCTTAAGTTTGCTTGCTCCAATAAAACAGGACAAGCACCAATAATGACACGGTGTATGCTTATCAAGGCACAAGGAAATGTGACCTGTAAGTATTTAATAGCTTAGACAATTCCCATTGATAGTGTTCTATCCCATTATTCTGACTATTATATAGTGTAGTTCCAGAAGCTATTCATACCCCTCCCACAAAGGACTTTTGAGTTTGAATCCCATCCTCCATTCCCTCTTGAAATTCCAGTTTTGGTTCATACTTTCCTTTAGAAATTTCAATTGGCTTTTGAGACTCCCCTCTGACTTGGAGTTTCCAATAGTCCTCCCAATTGGGGAGGGTATGGATTTTTCTCCAGATCCCCACTTTTATCAATGAAATTGCATATAAGACTTTAACACCAAGACTTCTAACATCAAGGATTTAAGTCCTTCCAGAAATTACAAGCAACAAATATGTTGCCCAATATACTGTATAAAGATTACTTATTACATTACAAGTAATAGTTTTATTGGAGGTTTATGCAAAAATGCTGGAGTGTACTGCCCAAACATCTCTGTTATATGTATCTAGCTCCTCCTAAATACAAATTACAGTTCATTAGGTTTTCGTTACAAAATAGTGGAATGGATCACAAAGAAAAATTCAATATGCCTATCTAATTTCTTGAATACTATTTTATTGTGCAACCACTTAAACCGGGCCACTCGTAACAAAGCTAACCAATCAGAGCGTTACTTGAGAACAAAGGATCGTGGCTACTTTCTTTGTAGACGGGCCAATGAAACTCAAGAACACAAACAATGGTTTAACAACAAAAATTCGAAACCCAACAAAGTTGTGAAGGGTGTGGACCTCTCAGGAAACTTGGTCACTTTTTGATTGGTTCCTTTCGATCCTAGTTTTTGAAACTGATTTTCAACTTTTCAACATTTCAAATGGTTTTGGTAAATTATAAGAGCTTCACAATTTTTCCTCATGGCTTTTGCCCACAGCATTCAATTGAGATTGAATCGAGTGGGGTGCATATAATTATGATAATGGTTTGCCGACTTTCCCAATTGCTATGAGAGCATGCCATCACCATGATGGCATGAGTCCACAGTTGATCGCAAATGAAATAAAAAGTAGTTGACACTTTGTGTGAAACGTTTTGAGGGACTATGATCTCAAGGACTCGTCTGTGCCCAAAATGAGAGAAATGCAACCTTGATCAAACCTGGGGGGAGATGTAGTGGAATATTTAGAAAATTAAAAACTCTGCAAACCCAGCATTACAAGTTCAGAGCTACAGTAAAGACTTTTGTTGGATGGGATTGTTCATCCCGTTGACCTACCATCAAAGCCAGCAATTTCAAAGTGTATTAGGGAAGACCTTGTCATGACAAAGAAAAGATTCAACAGGTACCATTAGAAGCAAAAATGCCAATAACTGTTGAACACACTAACTTTTTCCTATATCAAGTGAGCAACTTGCTGCCAACAACAATCCATTTCTTTGTCGTTATGGAAGTGCACCGGTCGGCGAACCAGTATACATGTATGAAGTTTAGAGATACGCATCAAATGCTAATTTTACCATCAACCTTTTACACTTGATGTAGGGAATAAACTTTTTGTTTTTTTTCAACACACAGCTTTATTTTTCACAAACAATTACAATTACACTAAAGTTACAAAACAAAACTACACATTATGTATCTACTCATTACAATCTACATACTGTAATACAATTGAAGCATTACCTACATGTACAACAAATTCACAGTACGCTATTTACGGCTTGGAGTTGAAGACTTGAGTTACATTGATGTGCGATGTTTACATATGCACTTCTTACGTTGATTATTATAATTATCTATTGGTATTTCAAGAACACTATAATTACATATTGTCATTGCATATACTACATATTCTAATTACATATTAGAGAATCATACTATTAGTTAGGTCTCTATGGTGGTAATATCGCTTGTAAGGTCACATGCTTTGAGTTTTGTAATTTTTGTGCTCTTAACCCTTAGAAGTGGCCAAGGAGAGGTTTCCATTTTTCAGGCTGAAGGTTGAGCTCATTTGTTTCGACTTCATAAGTTTTTTCCAAGAGGCATAAAAATTTTGGAAGGTTAGGAATTTGATCTCTCAACTTACACATCCAGATATAATATCCGCTCATTAGACAGGAGAAATTAATTTGAAGTTTTGTGTTTGAACTGTCTGGTTTCAGCCCCAAAGTGGTGGTCATGGCAAGATAATTTCCTTTCTGGATTAAATAACATGATTGTGGCCATTGGTAAAAGTTTCCCTAGAAATGAGAGGTCACCTTGCATTGCCAGAAAAAGTGGAGCAAAGTTTCTGTTTCTTCCTTGCAAAATTTAAAGGTGCAAAGATCATTATCTTTAACTGCAATCTTATCCAAAAAGGAATTTGTAGGCAGACATCTATGGAGCAATTTAAATTGGAAAACTAGACACTTTGCTGCGTGTACCCAGGCAGTCGTTATACTGAGAAGCAATAGCTATATTGCAATTGAGCTAAATGTTCTGCATTTGAAGTTGTACGAAATTCAATCGAATTGATGTGCTTAAGCTATTCTGCTTTTGATTGCATTTCTTGGAATCAATTAAGAGTGGATGTCTCTAAAAATCAAAGAAAAATAAAAAAATCGCGGACATGGTCAAAAATTCGTTT